TGGAGGTGTGTCTAAACTAAATCATATTTTAATGTGTTTACGGAGGTGTGTCTCAACTAAATAATTTTTTAGCTCCGCTTTCGACTTTGTCGAGCGGAGCTTATCATATGAGTGATTGTCCGTCGTCCGTGTCAATGTTTTACTTTTTAGCTCCGCTGTCGACTTTGTCGAGCGGAGCTTATCATATGAGTGATTGTCCGTCTTCGTCGTCGTCGTCCGTGTCAATGTTTTACTTTTTCGACTTCTTCTTGAAAACTACAAGCCTAAATGCTTTGATACTTGGTGTATATGTACCTTGGGTAGACCTCTCTTAGGTTTGTTCATTTCATGTTGATATCTTTAATTCTCTAATTTTGGTGAATATTTTTGTCATTTTTGGTAAAAACTGATATTTTCGACTTCTTGTTAAAAACCGCAAGTGCAATTGCTTTGATATTACATATATAGGTACTACATGTGGACCTCTCTCAGATTTGTTCATTTTGTAATGATATCTTTAATTCTCTAATTTTGGTGAATATTTTTAGCTCCGCTGTCGACTTTGTCGAGCGGAGCTTATCATATGAGTGATTGTCCGTCGTCTCCGTCGTCGTCGTCCGTGTCAATGTTTTACTTTTTCGACTTCTTCTTGAAAACTACAAGCCTGAATGCTTTGATACTTGGTGTATATGTACCTTGGGTAGACCTCTCTCAGATTTGTTCATTTCATGATGATATCTTCTGTTCTTTAATTGCCATGTGCATTGCTAACAGCGGAGCTATCTCAGCCGACAGGCTGCTTGTTGTCGACTTCTTGTTAAAAACCGCAAGTGCAAATGCTTTGATATTACATATATAGGTACTACATGTGGACCTCTCTCAGATTTGTTCATTTTGTAATGATATCTTTAATTTTCTAATTTTGGTGAATATTTTTGTCATTTTTTGGTGAAAAGTGATATTTTCGACTTCTTGTTAAAAACCGCAAGTCCAATTGCTTTGATACTACATATATAGGTACTACATGTGGACCTCTCTCAGATTTGTTTATTTCGTGATGATATCTTCAATTCTCTAATTTTGGTGAATATTTTTGTCATTTTTGGTAAAAAGTGATATTTTTGACTTCTTGTTAAAACCGCAAGTCCATTGCTTTGATATTACATATATAGGTGCTACATGTGGACCTCTCTCAGATTTGTTCATTTCATAATGATATCTTTAATTCTTTAATTTTGATGAATATTTTTGTAATTTTTGGTAAAAAGTGATATTTTCGACTTCTTGTTGAAAACCGCAAGTCCAATTGCTTTGATATATTATACATATAGGTACTACATGTGGACCTCTCTCAGATTTGTTCATTTTCTAATGATATCTTCTGTTCTTTAATTGCCATGTGCATTGCTAACAGCGGAGCTATCTCAGCCGACAGGCTGCTTGTTTATTTCCAAACAACAATTTGCAATATAATTATAAATGGAAACATTTCTGCAATTTTCTGCTAAAGCTGTAACTTGAATATGTCAATCAGTCGATCAAACTAAAAAAAATAGTATTAGATTAGCTACCGGTGGTTAATTAATGGTAAACTAGTATTAAATTTACAATAATAAAATTAGTCAACTAGTACAGTGACTACAAACCATTTAATGCCTATGACTTTATATCATTAACTAGCTACTACCAATGACGTATTATTAATATCATCATTAACTTTCTTTTCAAATCTGTTAGGTATTCTGTCAATAGAACAGGGCATTAGTCGTGTTGGTGTTATTGGTGTTACATTGATGGCGTTGCTGTCAGGTTTTGGTGCTGTTAACTGTCCTTACACTTACATGTCGTATTTTATGAGGTAGGTTGCTCTTACTTTTCTCTTTTGGTTTAATTTATATACTACTTATGAATTATTCGAACTAATTGTATGTTGCTGCGTTGTTGGCAGGATTTCTTTGGTTTGGGATATGATTACTATCGAATGTCTTCCCATAATGCTATGGGAATTAATTTAACCAGTTGTGGAAGTCAAGTGCCATTTGAATTTGTTTAACCAGTTAGGGAATCAGATTTCAGTCAGCCTGGGAATGTTTTATAATACTTGAATGTGTCTAGCACCATTTTCCAATTATAACTTTGTTGATTCATATTTTTTGCCAAACTTTTTATGAAAATGATTTGAAATTATGTTCAAAAGTAACAAAGAAAATGTGAAAAAATATTTTACGTGACAAATTATGATGTTAGAAGGGATAATCAGAAAGTTTGCATGTATTATCTCTCTAGACATGTATCTGATGGTGATATACAAGCCCATGAAAGAAAATTTATGCAGATAATGGATATGATATTAACAAAGAAAAAAAGGTAACTATTCTACCTACTTTCTGTATCTCTGTTCTGATTACTGTATTAGAGGTTAACATTTTTGTATGTTAACCTGCATCCGGGTACCTTCCTCCTCAATTTACCTGATTTACGTCAATGACTTGTCAGGGGAGCATTTTACGCGGCAATATTCGTGAACTTATTGGTTTGCCAGGTTTACGTTCACTATATCACTATCTTATTGGAGTGAAAAACTAGGATTTTGTAGTGATTTCACGTGATTTTTAGTCAAGCTTGTGCGTTCGCCAGCGTGCTCAGCTGCACGCTTTGAGACATTGCATCTGGGATTGCGTAGTTCGTCAATCTAAATAATCTGACAGTCGTGGGCTTTGCTGTGTGACGGCATCGTTTTGTTTATTTTTGTTAAGTTTTTGTGTGTTTTGACAGTATATTAACATATTATGTACAGTGTATTTGTTGATAGAGAATAGTGTTGATGTAAACCTATACTCAAGCAGTGTGCAGCTCCATGTGCAGCTCGTTTCAATGTGCAGCTCGTTTCAATGTTCTACATGTAATGCGAACCTGGAATGCAATGTAGCGTATAGCTGCGCACAGGATCAGGATCAATTCTTCGTTTGGCTGAAGCTGTTGAAATTAAGTTTATCAAAACTACCATGAAAGTAAAAAGACGTCCATGATAAAACTTAATAGAATTCAATCACTGCTCTTGAACTCTTTCAACTTGTATATTTGTGTTCATACATGCATTCAGATCTATGAGCGTGAAATGAAGTTTGCCATGATTGAATGCCACAATTTCTGTTTTT